AAATACAATTTAAAAGTTAAAGGCTACATTATTTGAAGACAATACAAATATAACATTTCTTTTGAGTGTAGGATATATTTAGAATGAATGGCTTTTTGTAGGGACTTTTAAAATGTTTTATGAATTATGAACCCTTTCAATTATTCTTATATTATATAATTAAGGTATTTAATACAAGCAAGCTCTAACCAAATATAATTGGAATGGTCTAACTCGATGCACTCGCAGTAGTTTTGTATTTCCTACGACTTCGGCATGGCCGTTCGTTGTCTTGTTACCTTTTGATTGACCGCACAAGGTCCACAAACCAATGGCACTTGGGAAGGCCGCAAAAGCTTTGCAGACCCACAGATTGTTGGTTAGTTTGCAACAAAATGCCGTTATTTAGATTTGCTTTGTTGACCTTAGTATCACTCTAAGATGTCCGAGTGATGCCAGAGAGTCTGCATCATTCACAGCTAATTAACTGCCAGAGGCGTATTCAGTGAGAAACCGCACTTCCAAATTGATAGTTCTGTATGTGTTTGCCGTTGCGGTTGCAGTTGTTATTGGTCTTCTAGTTGAATGTTGTTGTTGTGAGAGGTGAACTTAATTAGAAGCAGCCAGGGACCCACAAAACAAAGGGGCAGATAAAACGAATGCCCTTCGGGTGGGTAGATTTTAATTTAAATGCATGCGGCAATTTTTGTATAGAAGTATTAGAATTATTTTCGTTTTTGTTTTTGTTTTTGTTTTTTTTTTTTTGTTTTGGGGTTCTGCCATTTGTCTGCGGTTTGTCTGAGCGTTTTCGGGTTTGTGGGCTTTATGTTTAATTGCAATGGAAATTTTCCATTTGCCGTTCTTTGGCATCCGTTTTTATTTAGTTTATGTTAATGTTAGGTCATTTTGTAATTTTGTAATTTTGTAATTTTGTAATTTTCCCTAATGGTCCCAAGCGAAATATTAATACCTATTAACACAAATGCTAAACAGTTGAAACTTCCCTCTGATCAGATATAACATACACAAGTCGGCAGCTCTTAATTACTTTAAATATAACGCTATTACCAGCACTTTCAGCTCATGCTATTTATTTGTAAAATAATCCCTGTTACATACATACTTTTGGGGTGCCAATGTAAATTTTTTGATATAAATTAATTAATTTAAGAAATGCCCAAGTATGGTAATTATATCTTGAACATAAGTCGATAAATGGCAACACAACCGAATTGCGGATGTGATATTTGAATAAGTGAAATTAGCAAATTTATTAACCAGATTAACAAAGGTCACAGACAGTAAATTACTGCCTTATCGCAATTCACAGCTAATATTGTGTTCATCGATGTGTGTGCAGTGCATAAATTCAATTGAAAATTAATTAGCGACCAGTGGTCGAAGTGAACCAAAAAGCAACCAAAAACAATACTCAAAAGCCTAATTGCCTTTGATTATATTCGTTTATCGATACTTGGACATTATTATAGGCTTATCTCACACACACATACACATGCACATACACACACACACAAACACACACTTATACAGATACAGACACAGTTACAAAGATAGACATAAGCCCAGAACAGAATTAAATTGGCATTAGGCAGCGGCAAACAAACAATTTTTGTGGGTCCAGCCTTGTACTCGACTTCATGGAATGAGGGAGGCAGGGAGGGGATGATGAGGATTTGGGTGTCCCTTTTTGGTAATGGCTGTGGCAGCATAACATGCCACATTGTCGCTTTGACTTTTATTTATTTTGTTAGACGCATTTTGAAAAGCCAATAAGCAGCTCCTGATTGATTATCTGTTGCCGACCTGATACGGTTCTTGTTCTTCTTATGCTTCTTTTTGTTGTTGTTGTTGCTGTTGTTGTTGTTGTTGCTGTTGCTGTTGTTGTTTACTTTAATGTATAACTTTGCCACTCGCACAATTTTCACGGCGTGTGCGTTGGCGTCAATCAATTTTGGTTGGTAAAATAAATGAGGCGTGTACAGCATTTATTTGTTGCCTACTTCTTGGGGCGCCCGTCTGTTGCGTAAAAGGCTTAAAATTTATCGGATACTGCCGTTGTTATTGCTTTTGTTCTCCATCTGCAGGTTATATAAAACATGCCGTTCCTTTTGGGCTTACTCGCCAAACAGCTGCCATTATAAATAGCACACGTCTAACGTAAGCTCCGAGTGAGGTTAGCCTTGCCCTCTTCGAGACCGCATGCCACTGGCAGAGCTGCCACTATCCCATGTTGAGTGGCAGTTGAGTGGAAGGCTCTGCGGCGATGACAACAGCACTAGTGGCCACAACTACAAAGTGTGGCAACTGCACTTGGCTGCCACTCCCACACACAAACGAATTCAAGCCCCAACACCCAAAGTGAAATGATTCAAAAGCTAAAAGCCAACGCAAACCCATCACTTTCATAAGAACTTTCAAGTGTAGGCGGCAACCACTGCCACTCACACAATACCCACTGTCCATTGCCCCACCAGCAAATGCACTAAAATAATCACACAGCATTTCCTAACATAATATCTGATCGACTCAATGATAATGCCAAGTTGTTGTTAGTTGTTGTTAATGCTATCATAAGACTAATTTTTGCACTTGCCCTGTGCTATTTCTTAAGTCTATTAATAATAACAAATAACAACAATGGCTCTTTAAATATATAACATTAGTAATTAGTGGGTTCGTAACAGGCAGTATGCACCCCATACAAACTATATATTCCTGATCGATTCACCTGTGACCATCTGTCTGTCTCTCTGTCTGTTTGAATAAGCTGATCTCAGAGACTATGCAAGCTGGGGTAATTTGAAGTATAAGCTCTTGTATATTCCTTTCATTTTATCGATAACTGTCCTCGCAAATATCGATACTTATCGATTTGCCCTCTCAACAAATGCCACAATTTATAATTAAAATAGCATTTTCTCCACGATTAATAAATGTGCGCATGATGTGTGAAAATCGAGCTAAGTATATATGTTTTCTGCAATATATTTTCAATTCAATTCGAGCTGAGAAATTAAATTTTGCGCTGACTTAGTCTTCAGTATCTGTGCAGGAATGAGAGCTCTTCCAAGCATGTTTTCATTTGGTTGTGCAAAACTTATTAAACAGAAATTTGGCACGAAAACTATAATATATTTTTACTCGATTTACTTTCTTCTTACATGCTCTATCTCTCTGTCTGGCTTCCCAAATCCCAAAGATAGAATAAAACGACAGATGCTAGAGTCAACTAGATACAACAATTTCCATTCAGACAAAAACTTGAAGTTTTGGTTTTATTTATAGTTCTTCTTAGTGGTCTAATTTACAGACATTTATAACATTTAAACTTGAAATTTGTTTAAAATAAGTACCGGTACACAGACATATCAACATTGAATCTTGAATTTTCTCTTACATATACAAATGTGTGTATACATGTATATACTTAATATCTAGGGGGGAAAAAAAATGTAAAAAAAAAACCCTTCTTTTATATATGAAATATCATTGAACGTTACTGCAAACACGGAAGATTGAAACTTATTGTTGTTGCTTTGTCAACTGGAAATTCGTTTTATTTGTTTTTGCTCGCTGAAAATATTTGCGTGTCATTTAAATCAGTAAACACTGGGGCTCAAAAGGTTTACAAATTTAAATGAGTTTCATATATTTTTCTTTGCTGAGTTTTTTTTTTAGTTTTAACTTAGCTAAAGTCGTCTTAATGCTAAAATTTATTCTGTTTTTTCTGTTTTTCGCTTACACCAACTTTTACAAATGCCGCACAAAAATCGCACAAAAATAAACATTAGAATAGGATCTTATGTGTTGGTTTTTGTAAATACTTAACAAATATGTATGTTTGCATGGTTTACTTGTGTTGTTTTTTATTATTAAAATACATACTTAACTATTCGTATTGTTCCTGTAATTATTATAAATGTAATTATTTCCATACGCCTCTCAATTATATGGAGAATCTCAAATTTGTTGATAAGTTATATGTATGTAAATATGTTCGTACATAACTATATGTATATATGTAAATTGTTATCAGAGTTTTTTAAAAAAATTTATTTGAATCATTTCTTGAATTGTTTCGTTTATTAAAAAGTATTATATAAGTTCCACATATCTGCTATTCAAGTTATTTATCACTTTCGATTTGCCAATTCATTTAACATTCAATTCTCTAATCATGAACAAGTTTAGTGTTTTGTTTTTTGCGTTTAGCTCCAGTAGACTGGAATGCGAGCTTCAAATGTTTTCTAGAGACTTTATTGCATTATTTCTTATATTGGGTAATGAATATCTTATAGCTTGGTACACATTTACAAATAACACACAAGTTAATTTCAATTGGTGGTATTTAACCTTTTAACCAGCGAACTAGAACAAACATTGAACATTTAAAATCTGTACTAGTTTAAGTTATTTTTATACTGCAAAAGTTACGGATCGATGGTTATCATTAAATTGTGTGTGAATATACATTTTATTTGTTCTTACTACAATTTGTAGTTAAAGAATTAGGTTATCAATTATTTCGTACATTCCAGCTACTCTTAATGGGGTTTCTCCTCTTCTCGTCACCTTCTCGATAATTCTCGAAAAAAATTAAAAAAAAAAATTTGTAGAGAACAATTCCCATGTCCATTCTATAAACTTGTCCAGCTCAATGAATCTTTTTATTAGTTGGTTTAAAACCAGAGTATTCGTATATGATTTTTAATTATTATTTGTATTTTGTTTTTCTTTCTAAATATCCCCCTTTAGGACTTACACCGAAATGAATGAATGAATGCTGTTAAATTTTAAACGTTGCGCTCCTCGGCAATTACGTCCATGTTGCTGGTGCGACGCTGTTGAAAATGATGATGATGATGATGGGGCATATGAAGATGCTGATGCTGATGCTGCGGCGTCATTTCTATTGACTCCGACGCCTTCGGAGCGGAGCCACCGGCAACGGCGGTGCAGACGGCAGTGCTACTGCCACGCCGCGGCACCAACATCACCAATTACTAGAGGACAGTCTCATTGGTGTTGGTGCAGGTGCGTGGGCCATTCACGATCGAGTACTTGGACGAGCTGTCCTTCTTGCCAGCGATGCGACCCATAAATATCTCCTTGAATGTCTCACGGAATTGACGCGACATGCCGCAGTAGATGCCAAAGTTAATCGGATAGCTGAGCACCAGAAAGAAATTGGTCAGCATTATAAATATGTTGGCAATGCCATAGTCCAAAAATTCAATGATCAGCGAGCTGACAATGTGCATGGATGTGACGACCGCAATGGGTATCTCGGCAATGAGAAACACCGACACGACCACAATTAGCATCAATGTGGTACAGTTGGAGTCCCTCAGCTTTTTGCACTCCTTTTTGCGGTTCTCGCGAAACAGCAGCTTGCGTCGCTCCTGCGCCTGCCTCAATGCCGCAAACAGCAGAATGTTGAGCGTGACCAGAATGATGCACGGCAGCAGATTCACAAATAGCACACGGAACAAATAATAGCTGGTATAGTAGAGATTCACGCCAATGTACTCGTGCACCCACAGCGATGTCTCCAAATGGCATACCTCCGTCTCGTTGCCATTCCACTCGATCTGCATGGGCAAATAGGTGCGATCGAAGAAGCGTGGCAACTGATGCAGAAACGCCAGCAGCGCAATATAGAAGGTGCAACGCCTCACGCGCGGCATTGTGCACCAGGTCCGTGCCATTGGGGCATGACACACGTAAATGTACCTGCAATCATATAGTGCATAACATTATTGTCAATAATTATTATTATTTGCGAATGCCTTGCTTGCAATCATCTCAACTTCGACTACAAATAGTGTCGACAATATAACAAATATAAGTTTTGAATAACCATTATTTTGATTTATTGTGAAATCGTTAAGAGTACATTAACACTCATTACAACTTATAATTATTACTTTGTTGTCTTGATTATATATAGACTCATTTTGTCGACCTGATTTTGTCTTCTGCAATGCAAAAGAAAAATTATTGCTGGTTTGCATCTCTAATATCGATTTTGCATTGAGTTCAGATAGAAACATGTAGTATAATTAACGTAACTCGCAAGGAACTGGATGAATATAAAGTAAAATAAACATTATCTGTGGCAGTATCTTTAAAGTTAACTGCTGTATGTCATATACATCATGTTGGCCCTTAGCAGACGGCCATTACAGTGTCTGGCATTGGATTTTATTCACGCAATGTTATCCGAGTTAGGGCATAAAAGCAACATCTAATCACATTTGCCTAATATCATTTTATTGCCAGCCAGGCCAATGAATAACCCAATTTGGCTTGTGCAAATTTATGATGGCAACGTGTCGACGACGTTGTCGTTTGCAACCTGCCGCTTCTCGTAACTTGATCCATTGCCAAGTGAACCACAGACCACACGCAATCAAATCCATTTTAAGCAAAAGCTAATCAACTTGTCATTTTATAATTACACAATTTAAGTAATTTCCGCAATTTGTGAAAAGTGCTCGCATTCAATTCAGTGTTGCCAAGCTTTAGCAAATTAAGTTGCTGCTTCAATGCTGGCCAGTATCCACGAGGATACTCAACTCTTATAATAGTTTTAACTTGAAGGCATCATCCACCCACCATTCCAACCAACTTGTGGCCCAGAAAGAAGCTCAGGCAGCTTTGCTGTTGTCGTTGTCGTTTCTTGGCCATCGCAATGTTTTGCCAACTCATAATTTATGCGCATAATTATTGACACCTCCTCCGAAATTTGCCGGAGTCAGTCCTGTTCTGTCCTTTTATGTGCTGTGCGCGCTGGCACTTCAAAATGATTTTCAATCAATCTTGCATTGAACCTTTGTCAGGCGCAGATTTCATTAAAGTTGAAAGCAGTCGTAGACAATGGATGAACCGATTGCCTCGCATTTGGTCCTAAATGGAATTGATATTCATAATTGAATGAATAACATTTAGTCTGCCCCCATGCAACTTAGTTAATTAAATATAATAGGCGGAAACATTCATCAGCGATCAACGGAGAATTAAATCAAACAAAAGCAACGCAATGTATCCATCCAAATAATTAATTGGGTGTTTAACATATTCTCCAAAAGGGCTGAATATCAAATTTCGATGACATTTGCCAACAATATTTATTTATTTTTATTCTCCTTCTGCGCAATTTGCAATTTGCAGTTTGCTATTCACATGCACAGTCATAGTCATATTCATAGTTATTCATTCGGCTATTCAGCTGAATCATTCAATTTAATAAGTAGTTGGGCAATTTTTGGCAACAACATTTTAATCAGTTGACTCGCAAGCAACTCAACTATTACAAATCATCCAACATCGAAGTATGCACTTATGTATCTGACTTTAACTGCGACTGAACACATTTGTATGTGTTTAATCAAATATAATGTTACTCAGTTCATTCATTCAGTCAGTTCACACTTGCCGCAACTACTGTCAGCATTAAACTTGACGTCCAGCTATTTGACTTTCGCACACAACATAAATAATTCCATAGAATCACTTGAAGTACAATAAGTTGTCGACAGCGCAACATCTCAACAGCAGCAACAACAGCAACAACAGCAACAGCAAAAGCAATAACAACAGCAACAACAGCAACAACAACAATAAACGGCAATAATAACAATGAACGTTGACTGTTTTATCGCGCTATTTGTCCCCGGGCAATTTTTAAACGGAATGACTGTTAAATGTGTCCCATGCCACAACATATTATTTAGCTATTTGCTGCACATACACCCATATATTGTCCACAGACTGAAATCCAGCGACCACTTGAAGCGGACCAAGTCGCATAATGGCACAAATATTTATGACTATTTTCATAGATTTTTTTTTGGATTATTTTTATTATTTTTTTTTTGGCCAAGCGCCTGTTTTTTTTTTATTTTCTTTTTTGTTGGTTGCGAAATTTATTTGCAAAGCTGTAAAATTTATGACCCCACACATGAGTTAATAGAACAATGAGCCAGCTTTCGAGTGGTCCTTGCCCCACTTGTTCCACTTGAAAATTGGTCGATGTGGGTACGCATTTCGCCACTCACAAAAAAAATACTGAATAAAGAGTCTGTGCGACAGACTGAGAGGGGCACAGTGGCAAGGGGGCACAGATACTGACACACTCACGATTTATGTTGCCAATTTTATACATATTAGTTTATTGTTTTTCATTCGCATATTGTTTTTCCATTTCTCGGTTTTCTCGGTCTTAATATACATACATTCACAGCATTGACCCACTCCGATCGACCCTTAATGTTGTTTGGTTTATTTATGGCTTTACAGCAAAACAATTTGAGTTTAAAGACTGCGGCCAATTGACATTTTGTTGCAGGAATCTCATTCACAGCAAATTGCGCAACCATTGCCAAATTGAGAATTTAAACACTTTTTGTTGCGGCGGATTAATCACAAGTTTAACGATAAGCCAAACGATTTTGTACATTGCAACCAAATTGTAGAATATTGAACCGAAAAAATACAGAAAAATGGCTTTAAGGACATCACCTATAAAAACTACGCTACAGGAGTTCCCGATTCAATAGTCAACTAAATCAACCATTCGAAACCGAGCCAAAGACAGCATTTGCACCTCCATTTTGTCTTCCGGAATATTTTTAGTCATCTTAAAAGCAATTAGCTATGTCAATCACAATGTCAATAAAGAAAGTTCTTTACATGCACCGACAGCCTAATTAAGAGAAGTCGTTAAAAACATTGACAACTAAAATCAGACAATCTGCCAAATAAGGAACGCTGTCACAAAGTCTCCAAGTAAACAAACTGATTGCCGGAAATGAGCTTGCTGATGTTGCAGCTCAAATTGTAATCAGATGTCACATCTTATATTCATTCAATCCGTGGAAAGTGGCATGTTAAATGCAATCCAATGACTAAGAATCCTTGCAACACTAATGTAAAGTGCATCTGTTCCAATTTGGCAAAAAGGTCCACTAACTCTGGGGCTACATTTAGATATTATATAATAATAGTAACAGAAACTACTATTATTATTGGGAGAGCTAAAGGTCTCGTTGCTTGGTCTCTAGCTACATTATTAATTATAATATTATTTGTATATAAATATAATTGTATTATAGTAATATCAATATGAATAAATATACTGCAAATATGTTTATAACACAAGCAATTGTTTATTATCGACTATTTTCTTCTGCAGTTTTGAATTCCGTTGGAGTTTTCCACCTCGTCTATCTGTTGTGGAGTTGTATTCCATATCAGCAATGAACTTGCAACATTGAAAAAAACATCTTTGCTTTACGACTATTATTTTCAATGTTTATAGTTGTGTTATCAAATTTAAGATCTTTTCTGCTTGGAATTTGTTGGACATTGTGCATTGCAGTGTGCAGGAGCGTGTTTGGCAGTGGAGGCAAAAGTCTAGGTTTATGTGTGAGAAAGGGATCATCTCGAGATCAGGTTAACTATTATTGTTTTTTAGATACTGACACCTTAAATGCTTTCAAATGCGTTGGTGAATAAAGAGAAGTCTTTAACTATGTGAAGGTTTGCAGGTGCAAGCACTTCGTTATTTGCCAAGTTAGAAATACTTCTCTTATGCAAAGCAACAAGTGAGAGATGATTTAAATCTATGTATTTACATATTTATGAGTATGTGTCATATGAAAAAGTAACACGCACATTACTCATACGCAGCGATAGCTGGACGAACGATATTTTCTGCTTGTAGCACATGTATATATAAATATATATATATTGTGTACCCATTGGTTGGAAACCTGGGACAACTGTGGCAGACAGAGCACACCTGATTTATTATCCCGTTGACAAGCCAAAAGCACTTGCAGTCAGGCAGACAAGTTGCCTGCTGAGCACAGAGCTTGGATGTGTAATTTGAGTCAGAGCTCAGGCTGTAATCTCAGTCATAGTGAAAGTATAGGCCTGATAAGGTAAGTAAAAGCAAGCAGACGTAAATAAAAGCAATTATTGCATATTTACCTTTGTACGGCTAGGGCCAAAGTCAGCCAAACGGAGATGGTGTGGCACATGGCTGGCATAATCTGTAGGCAAAGAGAGACACAAGCAATGTTGATAAGTCGGATGTAAAACGTAAAAAAGATGTTGTACATGTGCACAATAGCAAATTGTTATGTACGTGTAAAAACTCTTAATGCTTATATATATATAGAAAATATACAAATTAAAATTAAATTAGAGCCAAAATTGGCCTTCAGCTAAAAGTAGTATTTGATAATTGTGGCGTGAATAATAACAGAATTCATAAGCAGCGAGCCGTATTTGAAACTCCAATTAAGCAAATTTCTGAAGCCCCCTTTCAGCAACAACAACAAGAAGGCATATAAACAATTCGATTGAAAATTAAAACTTTATTTATATGCTCACTTTTATTTTTACTTAATTATATTTAACTAACTCAAACTAGTTGTGCTTGGATGAATGGCTAATTAAATAAGAAAAATGTAAAAATGGAAATAAAAAACAAACACACAAAAATTTGTATTTATTCTTTCAAAAATGACTCGATTTAATGTTTGTATATACTCAAAACTAGATGCTTTAAAAATGTGATTCTAGTTTTCTTTGATTTGCCAACTAATGCGAATAGTAAAACTTATTTTTTAACATTTGAAAAGGACATTCCGATATTAAATGTAAATCGTAATTTGATTGCATTAATGCTATTTATATATTTAAAAGGATTGCAGCTCGGTTTCATGAACTTAGCCTGAATGGGGCTAATTTTATTTTACATGCATTTGCAGCGCACACATTGCTATCACGTCCAATTACAACTTTGTGCAGGAAACTGTAGCTTAATCCGATTTATGAGCATTTATCTAACAACACAGGCACTGAACGCAGCTGCAATTACAAACACTGTTAAATTTGGTTGTTGTCGAGTGTGTGTGTGTGTGTGTGTATGTTGTGTGTGTATGTTGTATGTGTATGTGGTGTGTGTGTTAGCTACGAGTGATACAAAGCTCAACGAACAGCTCGGCTGACACATTAACATGACCATTAAATGCGCCACTGCCAGAGACTTGCGAGACTTGCGAGACTTTCGAGACTTGCGGCGCTTGCGAGTGGCACATTAATTTCCAGGGAAATGTAACGAAATCTTCAACTTCAGTTGCAATGGCCGCCTCGTGGTTATTACACTCGTCGTGCTATGTGAGTTGAATTTTATGGCTGTCATACGCAGATAGCCACCGACACAGTTCTCTATACACTTCCTTTTGGATGCAAACTCAGCTAACCTAACCATGAGTGGTAATGCCCATTCCCCAGTTAGTAAGCGGGGCGAGGTATGGATATTCTTAGCTGGTACAAATCCCTTGGGATCCCAGTCACAGCACGTAGCTGAAACAATAACAACATCAATTCCAACAGCAACAGCAACAACAACAACAACAAACTACAACAACATCAACAATGGGGCACATTTTATCAGCTCGACACTACTCCATTGAAGTGAGTAAACAGTTTTGCTTTATGTCGCCATCTTTTGCCATCTCTTCATCAACTCATCACCCACCCCAAATCAGACACAAACACCTCTCAACTGCTCCTATTTCTGTTTCTGTTGCTGTTGCTGTTGCTGTTCTGAGTGAATGCCATAAATTGAAAATGTTGATTAATCAAGGCAAACGTGCAGCATTTGAGAGGGGGCTGAGGTAGGTGATGTTTGTCACGGGCTGCCATGATAATGTAAAAAGCACTAGATTGAATAAGTGTGAGTCTAGTGAATCGACTGAATGAATGCACATGTTCTTCCATTGAGTGGGTAGCCTCGGGTTGTTCTGGGCTCTGGTGGCTAACTCACTTGACTCCCCGTCAGAGTCAGTCTTGCGCCTCCATCAAGTTTTGGTGTTCCATTATTGTGCTGACAGAAGTGACACACAAAGTGCAAACGTAACGTGGCTGCAAAATGCGATAATGATAACGATAACACAGTCCTCAGTCACAGCCGACTAGGGGTAGATGTCACAATAACGGCAGCCGAGCATTTTATTTAGGTCAATGAGTGCCTATATCTATATATGTATATATGTATGTGTATGTATGTCAACTTACTTTCCACTCGATCCCATTCCCGGCATCCACCTTTCTCCATATGGAGCCACAGTCGAGCGTAAGTTTCTGGCACTCAGGCCAAAAGCAAACAAAATACTTAACATGAATGCCAAGAAGGAAACCTCTTGAACTTGCCCGAGCAATTAAAAGATGCTGTCGCCGGCTTCTTTTTACATACGATGGTGTGTTGATTTTCATATTTTGTGCAACACAGTGCTGGGCTGAGGTTGCGGTTGTTATATTGTTGACTTACCTCATTGAAAATGCTGTAGGCCAGGCACATGGAGACCGGATGCATGGGCTTGTAATGATTGCCAAATGTGTACATATACCAAAGTCCGGGCGCAGGAAATACAACCGTCAGCAGATCGCATATCGCCATGCCTGCAAAAAAAGTGAAGACAACAAACAATATGACAAATTGTATTATACAATGTATTAATAGAGCTGGCCATTTACTCTACTGGACGGGGGCTTTCCAATTAGTTTGGCTTTCACTCAGCCATGGACAGATCTAATCAGATCAAATGTGTATTATGCCGCAAAGACATTATTTCTGTCTGTCTTGATGTACCCAGCAGAGAATATTTTATATAAATTACAAAGGGTTCTAGTTTAGTGGCAAAATATTCCAAATATTTAATGTGTAGAAAAATTATCTACTATTGATAAATTTGATATTGAGTGGCTAGATTATTAGAGGGCGTACAGTCATCACTCTGCTGGTGACAAGCATTGAGACAATTATTAATAATGGGTACAGGATATAGAAACTTTGAAACTTTTGAAGCCATCTGTCTAACTTATTTGAATGCATATTTTAAAAATAACACTCTGACAGTTGCACGACAGCTAGTCATAAAGTGTATCACGTAGTTATTAGATAAGTTGTTGAATTGAGACTGACGCTTAATTAAAAGTATCTCAAATAGTCAATTAGATTAAGTGTGACTTTAGCTAGCTAAAGCCCATCCACCCTTCACCAAGGGCTAATCAACTTTGTGTTTCATTCGTTTTACACTCAACTTGACCGCTGGCGCAGAGTTCAAGTTCAAGAACGATGTGGCCAGTTGAACTTCTGACTGACTTCCTGACTTCCTGACTGACTGACTCTGACTCTGTTACTGGGTCACTGCTAAGCCAACCTTTGCCTCATGGGGTTCTACGTGGGCAGTTTGAGTCAATTTGTAGTTGCTGTTGTTGTTAATGTTATTAGCCGCAGCGTCCTGCAGTTCACACCCATCGTCGCGTCGTGCATCGCATGAGATTAACCCAAATGTAGTCAGGATGTCACAGTTGTCGGTTGCCCGGCTGCTCCCTGTGCGTTATGAAATGTTGGCGAAATAACCGAGAAAGCGAATGACTAAAGAACCATAAGCTGCCATGCCAGAGGGCTTATGGGTATACTGCCGTACTTTGTAGCTTATATTTTTTTACGAGCAGCAACCATATGTCTTCTTGATGGAATAGTAAGAAGAAAGCTGTCTAAGGCACCCCGAAGATGACACACCCTTCCAGATAGCTAACCACCTGCCGACATCTGAAGTTGAAGTCTATGAAATGTTTGGTTAAACTCATCTTTTGAGCGATGCTTTGTATACCAGCCACATTATTCAAATTTAGATCTAGCCTGTTACATTTACAAGATTCATCTCGATAAAATAGAATCTGTACAAAACCTATTTTTGCTATTAGCAATTATGGTTCTTAACTGCAACACTAATAATAACTTTTCTACATAGCATAGTTGTTGCACTTTATTACAGAATATTTATATATATATACATCTTTTTTTTTTTTGGTTCTCTCTCCTTCAATGCGTTACAAAGTTGACGACTAAATTTCAATACTCTCTTTGAGGGTATAAAAAGAGTTCCGATTCGCCTTGCGTAATCTGCTGCTACAAATTGCATTGACAAGGCGAAAATTGAATCGTGTGCTACGGATATCTTGGATGTCTGCCCTGCACTTCAGTTATTCTTATGGCAATGTTGTTCAACCCTTCACTGGCTGACAATGCGACCAACAGTTCAGTGCTGCTGGCTGCCACACTGCGAGTCGTAGCCTGCAGTACCATTGTTAGCGACTTTTCATAAATCAGTGGCAAATACCACAGCGAGCACAAAGCTGTCTTCACCGCCCTCAGTCCCGGCCGCCTAGTCAGTCAGCCATTAGCATTACACCCGCTATTAGAATATCTCAGCGTTACTTCGAGCTGCCTCACGCGGAATGCGTGCCGCAAGACGCTGAGCGATGAGGGGCTGAGTGGTGGGAGTTGGGAGTTGGGAGGTTAGGGCGAAGTAGATGAAGCGTGGCACGCACACTGCAAGCTATTTTGAAATCTCGCAATACTTCTGCCTGATTTAACAATGTGCCACATAAATTGGGCACTCCATAGATGAAATTATATGGAATACAAAATAAATAATAATCATTGGAGCAGAAGGGATGGCTCAGAGAAGGCAGTTTATGTAGTACACAGCCTAAATATCGATTTTGCAATTCATTAGTTGCCTATAAATTAAAAATCCATAAACAAAACGGAATACAAATTTAACACTAATGGGTAATATATAATCACGAATGTGGCTTAACTATTTAAGCTGCTTAAACAATACTTATACTTATACTTGTGGTTATTGCAATAAAAATTGCCAACTCTTGAGACTTACCCATTAACACAAAGTTGGTGGGCGTTGCCATACTCTTCTTGCTGAGCACAAGCACAATCAGTGAATTGGATATAATGGTCATGAATAGCAGAAAGGGCATACAGTAGCCGTATAGCGGCAATGCGTAGTTCAGCGGCGAATCGCAGGTCAGATTCCAATAGCTCATATTGCCATCCGCTTGGCGGCACTCACTGCTGTCCAGCTGCTGCTGATAGGAGGCATAGTCGAGGCTGTCATTTATACTGGTCGCATAGTCGACCTGCAGGAAATGGGTGTCGTTCATGGTGACCGATGAGGGGCGTGCCTCCAGCATTGTACCAACCAGCTCTGGCACACGCCCCACCGCTGCTGCGGCTGCTGAGGCCACCACTGCCACAGCTGTGGGCAGCGGGCTGGATGTATCCGATTGGGCGGCAATTCGTGCACCACTGGCCGCTGCGCTCCATTGATAGAGCACGTCCGTTGCGGATATATCGTAGGAGTATGCGGTATTATTATCCATTTTGGATGCCGCTGCGGCGGTCAACGTTTTCGTGACTGCCGTTGACACTTCCTGCACTTCTATTAACAGACTGTGATCGTTGCTCCTGGCCATGTGTAGCTGGTGTTCATGTCCAAGCTTGGGCCAATCGTGTCAATCACCTCAAGAATTCGGCGTCACAAAATGCTGTCTGTCTGCTCAACTGTGTCTGCTTTTTATTTATATTGTATTTGTGTTGCTGTTGTTGCGATTGTTGTTTTTATGATTGCATTCATCGAATTAAGCAAACCTGCTTTCATCTTTTTTGTGTTGGGATGTCGGTCTGCAAAAAAGAAATCAATTTTAGTTGCAAATACTTTGCACAAATAACACCCAATGTCGAAAGTTTTGCATGTACTTATGTATGTATGCACATACATATATACATACATATATAAATATATTTAGTCTATTTTATCTCATTTAATGAGACCCATTCAAGTATAAAACTTTGCCCATTGAGCCCATTATAATGGGCTTGGGGGCAAATCCTATATATGCTAAAGATTTGGGGGCGAGATATATTTTCTTCAGTTCACGCACACTCCCAGCTCTTTTCAAGTATTTGCGTCACGTACCCCAGCAAAGTGTATTCTCCAATTTATAATAAATCAACCAAGTGATGCTAGTCAAATGCTGGTTTCTCAAGTTGTTGATTCGATCTTAAAATATACACAAATTAAAAGTAATGTGTGTGCAAAGAAAAAATATTCATTGTACATGTAAATTTTATTGATTTATTTTAAAAGAGATATAAAAAGATTAAATAAAGTTGAGTTATTTGATGTATCTCCCTCTCTAGTTCTTACACATGTAATGTAAATTTAAAAATATAACTTAACTTGCATTTCACGTACAGCAATTTTTGAATAATTTATATCTGGTGGTTGCTAAGTAATGATAATCGGATAGTTATTTTGCTACTTGATTTTTGATTAAAATTTTGATTGCAAATGCAATACTCCTTCACAGCTGCAATGCTCTCGATTTACTCCAGTTCTCTTTGTAGTAATAAATTCAAACATTAATGCTTTATGCGGAAATATGGCCATCTTTTGATCTGACAACAGTCGTCAGACAACCCTTTAAATTCAACAGGCTTCAGGCTAAAGACCAAATGTGTTTTAATCAAAATTGTGTTCTGCCCCATTTAATGCTTTATGTAATCCTCAACTTAAGTCGTAAATATTATTACAGCTGTACTTTCGCCAGCATAGGCTTTGTTGTGATCTCGAATCAGACTAACTGTCCAAATACTGAATCAGTATGTTTGTTTATGTTTTTAATGGCTTTACTTTAAGCAATCAAAATGACACACCAACCCAAACTTGTGCACACACAGTAATAAAGAGACATATTTGAGAGAGTTTTATAGCAAAGTTTTGTCATGGACACATTAACCATATAAAAGAGCCGAAACAGACTGGCGACGGTATTGGGTATGACAATGGAAATGGAAATGGCCAAGGGCCAAATAGTCGCAGACTTGAAAACAAAATTGAATATGGCCTTAAAGGCATTAGTGTATTTCAATGGCACCTTTCCCTCCATGTTATAGTTGTCCGATGATAACAAAATGATAAATATTACGCATACGCCACCCTGCCCGCCGAACAATATTTAATTGCCATCATTTGACATTTGTTATGCGAATCGAATAAAATCACAGTTCAACCAGTCATCGATTATTCCATTTGAAATGTAATTTGGTTAATCGGTATTAAGATTTACAATGATTGTATGCGAGGAAAATAATGAGGGGTTGCTTATTTAGACCAGTATTTGCCTATGCTATGATGAGCGTCACGAAAGCGCCACGCTTTTCCATGTTGAGCCAGTTACATTTAATTATTTCTTGGCAGTCACTAGCTAGCTACTTGATGAGGCCGTCAATCCAGCATAAGAAATTGTTGGGAATCGCTTAATTGTCCTTTAACATGTTAAGCAGTTGTAAGAAAATTCAATTTCAACAAACTGTCTGTTACTTTCGCGCAGACAGTCTGACTAATTGACCAACTGACTGACGGGCTCTCAAGACGAGTGATGGCTGTATTTGCTGCATCTGCCAGCTGCTTGCTAAATTCGAATCTATTTCGATGCATTCAAAATCATTCATTCATTTACATGAATGTGAATGAATATTTGATGAATTTCTTTAAACACCAGTATTCATTAATACAAAACACAACGTCTTGGATTCATTGTCAAATTATCAAAAATATAATACAACTATAAATCATTACTCATTGGCTTATCGGTACTGTCAGTTCCATCTGTTAACAGGGTATCGCCCTCAGCAGAGTTATATTATTTCAATACGAGACATGTGTTAACACCTCTATTTGATGATTCTGATGTTTGTTGCTGTCATTTTAATTTGTAGTAGGCATTAGCAGGCCATCAACGTTATTTCCAGTAGCTACAGCCTAGATCAAGAACTACGTGAGTTGTTTTCGCATAAAAACTTTAACTAGCACACAGCTGTTGGCTTATCATGTTGTCGGCTTCTAACAGTTGCCTCAGCATAAGACCACCTGCTCCACATTCACTGCTTTATCGAAACATCGTAAAAACACAAACACAAACAAACACACACACACACAGACATAGTAGCACAGTCAAGACATCATCATAAAGCGATTAGTGGAACTAAAAGTGCCATTAAAATGCCTACGGCATAGGATCGAATGCAAACAGCCCGAAGGACATTTGGCATTCAATTTGCACAGAGCTAAAATGATTGTATGAATCAATTTCCACTACTTTCTTCGGATGCTCTATAATATTGAATATAACATTCGAATTCAAGGTAGTAAAAGAAAAAATGCATCCGAAAATTTTTCACAAAACGTGCTTAAATAATTTATTTATTTATGTTGGTATCTAAATGTGAATACACCTGAAATGCAGTGACAGTTGCTTGCCTCAAGACAAGACGATAAAGTAGAGTATCTTCTAGTCGAAGGCATTTCGTTATGTTTAGCCATCAGTATCTGGAACACCCTCCTGCCGCCCAGTTTTGAGCGCTTGTTTTCAATCCAACAAAGCAAAACATGCGCCAAGTGAAACTAGATCAACTAGGACGAGGACAAAAACGAGGTCAACATTAAAACGAAAACAAGTTAGTTAACTCAGCATTGTATTGCCGATGATTGAATACACTAACTTTGAAATACAATATCTTGTCGAATATTGAAATGTGGCTCTTTGTCAAAGAGCTCCTCAGTTGAAAACCCTTTTGTTGCAATAACTTACGATTTTATACGAAATTAATTGAAAACACAACGTTTTTTTATTTACCTCAATCAATGTGCCACAAGCCAATACATGCTGGTTGCTGTCTCTCTAGCATGTCTCCCAAATTTCTTAAATATACACAATGATTTCACACAGACATAATGGAAAATTAAATTGTACAACAATCATCGAAATTATGGAAATATTACATTTCTTTATGCTCTGCACAAAATGAGATGAAAAGTCAGCTGGACTGGTTTTCGTGTCTCTTTGTGACGACAAATGTTTGCTCTGCCACTTAAAAAAAAAAGAAGAAATCCAGTTTACCGGGGAAAAAGTCTGTAAAATTGACAAAGCAAATAGAAAATAGAGAAGAAGAAAATATCAATGTATTGGAAAGTTCTTGCTTTCGGAGCCTTACACAACAACATGCGAATATAATATCCCATGAAAGGGTATCTTTACATTGTTCCACTCCCCTTGCTGGCGGGCCTTATGTTGGAGTGATGGAGTCGGATGGGGTTAATGGACTGTCTGTCAACTTTAAGCAGTGGCCGTTGAATGGATTAAGTGCGCGTAATTCGCCATTTTCGCCTCTCTGAAGTATTTTTACCAAATTTTGAATGTCTCGCGCCTTTGTGGTTGTCCAATGAATAAATTTCACAGCCAGTGGACAGAGTATGAGCGTGGCAGGCTAAGCGATGGAGCTGGTTGGGCGCGGCCGAGAAGTGTTTGGTAGAATGTTAGTCGCAGCACATAATCAATTCCCTAAATAATAAATGAAAATTAAGAAAAAGTACTTGGCCCCGCTTGGGGAATCGAAGGCGGTTAATTTTCATGCTGTGTGCATAGCTATGTTAGCCTAACGGCTAAGAGTAGGGGTAGGGGTGTAATGGGGTGGGGGTGTAGATGGGTAACTCTAGGCAAGTGCGGCACTGTTATATATACTTGTGTGTAGTTGCCGATATGTGCGCCGAGATAAGGCTAAATTGCATTTAATATCTAGATATGGCAACAATGACGCCGAACAAATTTCATGCCAAGTTGTTGGCTTAATCATTTGTAATCGTTTAATGCTGCATGCTTATTGCCAGCCAGCCATTCAGCTAAGCCCCACCCACAACCCACAGCCCCGACCCCACCCACACGAATTTAACTAAGCCAGCTAACGAATTCCTCATGCCACAGTTGAGGATCACAGTTAGGCATACGAAATGAGCTCGGACCAGTTGAGCAAACTTCCCAGACATGCCGAATTAGTAGTTCACATACGCAGTCACGTGGCCACGCCCACCAAAAAAAAAAAAAATATATATATATATATAAAAAGAAGATAAGCAGCAGAAATAGAAATAGAAAATGAAAATGAAAAAGAAAGGGGCTGAAAGGCATTTGGGTTACCGATTGTAGAATCTGGGCCGGGTCGCTTGAAGCATTTGCAGTTTAAGTGTAATCGCAACAGCAAACTTTTTCGATTTGGGAATTAAAATAAAAAGCAATAGCAAAACAGAGAGCAACACGACTGTCTGACGCATATTCCAACCACCTTACACCCCCTACCCAACCACTACATTTTCCAAATTCAACCGCACCCCCTTCATAACGGGCTTGCCACAAAAAAAAAGTTTTCGCTTGTCGCCTCTAAACGCATCACTGGTGCTTGTCGCTTTTCGCTTTTCGCATTCACTTTAATGGCCAAATCCAGAGCATAGCCTCCATCTCCCGACTACAACTCGACTGCAGACACCAAATTCGTCGTCATCGTCCTTGTCGCCATCTCCATCGCCATCGCCATCGCTATGGCCTAAGACCAAGTCAAGCCATTCGCCTTCCGCTGTATCATCCAGCTTAAATTTTGCCAGATAAGTGATAAGCTGCCATACAAATTGTTTGCGCCAGACGCCAAATTTGCGGCACCCAACCATTGCCTACTTCGAGGCGCAGCCATGTGCCCCAAGCAAATAAAAGGATTGACCAGCTGCAGATTTACGCCTCTGTTGCGTGCCAAATATGCCAATACACATTTTAGTGGGTGTCACAATATTG